AGCTTATAGTTTGATATCTCTTATTTAGATTTCATTTGAGGCGACTTTCTTGTAGTTTTATATATGAAGTAATTTTTCAATATAAATGAATATTTAACTTAACTAGAAAATTTTGTTATAAAATAGTAAGAAAATTGGACGGCTTTCTTACTACTTCTTAAAGCAGCTTATTAGTACAAAAATTTAAAATTTTTATATTAAAAAACTGTTTTAAAAAACAGTAAAAAAATTATCCAAAATGAAAGCTTAATATATGACTTAAAGATGATTCAGGACCTTCATTTTATAGTAGAATTTTGAAGCTTTATACCAGAAGACAGACTTTTTTTTCTGTTGGCCAAGTATATATATGCGCAGGTCCAGTGGAATAATAACTTATTTATGCTTAAGCAATTTTCAGATTCTTTTTAGAAGCACTTTTGCCAATCAAATTGAAACTTTTTTTTTTCTTGCTAAAGAATTTTAGTTTGAACAAAAATTAGTGAAAATGAATCTTAAAATCTTTGAATTCGATCCAAATAAAACTATTGAGATAATTTTTTAGTTCAAAATTTATACACATTTATACTTAACACAACACATTTATATGTAGATGAATAAAGTTTAAATGCATATATATGTTAAAAGTATTATAAATATATCTCTATACATTAAATTTTAAGCTATCTCCATTTAGATTTTCTTTGAAATAGCTTTCTTACTATTTTTAAAATATTTTTTTGGTACATTAATTTTTTAAAACAAAAAATTTGTAATTAAAAATTGCTTTTAAAAGTAATAATTTAATTTAAATTTGATTTAACGGGCCATTAGATTCAAAGATTTGTGCAGCTCCAAAAATTAAGAGGAAGAAGAGGAAGGAGACAATGCGACCATCTACTTGCTGATGCCTTTATTGTAGTGGAAGAGCCATTACAGAAAAAAAAAAAAAGCCAAAAGGGGCCAGGATGAATGGGTTAGTGGCAAATGACTTAGGAAATGTTGGAGCCTACATGAAAGGAGAAATTATTACGTGCAATCACCGAATGATTCATAAATGAATCAGAACGTGTTATGTCACACAGTACCTAGTGGTACATAACAGCGATATACGGCAAGAAAATAACGTCACACATTCTTATTCGTCTTTGGACGTCATTAGGTGACTGCACAGAATAATTTTTCACATAAAAGATATGTAATAAAATAATTACATGGGACAGCTAACATTGAACAAAATAGAGAGAGAAGAAGTGGGATTTTTAGTCTTCCGGTTTCAATCATGTCGTACATTATTTGATTGCAGACATTAATTTTGTCTTTTTTAAGTTTTGGCATTGATTTTAATAGTTGTTGTGCACTAAAAAATCTATAATGATAGAGATATAATTTTATATCTTTGTTGTGGACTAGAATATATGCGGCGATAGAGTTTGAATTTTTTGTCTCAGCATTGTATGGATATTCAACATGCAAACAAAAAAGATATAAGACAGATTTTTACATGAAAACTCTAGAAAGGGAAAAACCACGGGGTCACGCCCAGTTGAGATAATTCCACTAGTGTTTACTCGAGGTACAAGAGACTAACTCGTCCTTAAAATTTAGGACGATCAGATTACAATGATTGAAATCAAGTTAATAACAATAATTTGAGATTTGATGATGTTGTGTATTCGAGCTGAATCCCAGAGTCACTTGGAGATATGACAGAATTCTGGTTTCACTTGGAGATCGGGCGGAGTTTCGGCGTCACTTGAAAGTCAGGCGGAACTCCGGTGTCACTTGAAAGTCAGGTAGAATTCTGGTGTCACTTGAAAGTCAGGCAGAACTCCGACATCACTTAAAAGTCGGGTGGAACTCCTGCGTCACTTGGAAGTCGGACAAAATTTTGACGTCACTTGAAAGTCGGGCGGAACTCCGGTGGTGGTCGAGGAGGAGCTCTTTTCATCCTTTTCTTCTCTTTTTGCTTAGGTCCAATCTTAAGCGAAATAAGTGGTTATTTATAATTTTTTTAGGATGGCATGCCCATAAATAGGAACATGATCAAGGGCAAATGAGGTGTGGTTTGGATGAACGGCTGATGTTGAATCATTTGATCGTGGATCGTTCGTCAGACATTTGAAGGTAATGATATCGGAATTCGGCGATCTTGGGCTCGTTGGATTCGTCTAGTCGAGCCGCTCGATTCGACTATAAGGATGTCATGTTTTAAAACCGTGGCAAATGACTTAGGAAATGTTGGAGCCTACATGAAAGGAGAAATTATTACGTGCAATTACCGAATGATTCATAAATGAATCAGAACGTGTCATGTCACACAGTACCTAGTGGTACATAACAGCGATATACGACAAGAAAATAACGTCACACATTCTTATTCGTCTTTGAACGTCATTAGGTGACTGCACAGAATAATTTTTCACATAAAAGATATGTAATAAAATTACATGGGACAGCTAACATTGAACAAAATAGAGAGAGAGAATAAGTGGGATTTTTAGTCTTCCGGTTTCAGTCATGTCGTACATTATTTGATTGCAGACATTAATTTTGTCTTTTTTAAGTTTTGGCATTGATTTTTATAGTTGTTGTGCACTAAAAAATCTATAATGATAGAGATATAATTTTATATCTTTGTTGTGGACTACAATATACGTGGAGATAGAGTTTGAATTTTTTATCTCAGCATTGTATGGATATCCAACATGCAAACAAAAAAGATATAAGACAGCTTTTACATGAAAACTCTGGAGAGGGAAAAACCACAGGGCCACGCCCAGTTGAGATAATTCCACTAGTATTTACTCGAGGTACAAGAGACTGACTCGTCCTTAAAATTTAGGACGAACAGATTACAATGATTGAAATCCAGTTACAAATAAGAATTTCAGATTTGATGATGTGTGTATTCGAGCTGAATCCTAGATTCACTTGGAGATAGGACAGAATTCTGGTTTCACTTGGAGATCGGGCGGAGTTTCGGCGTCACTTGTAAGTCGGGCGGAACTCCGGTGTCACTTGAAAGTTAGGTAGAATTCTAGCGACACTTGAAAGTCGGGCGGAACTCCTACGTCACTTAAAAGTCGGGTGGAACTCCTGCGTCACTTGGAAGTCAGGCAAAATTTCGGCGTCTCTTGAAAGTTGGGCGGAACTCCGGCGGTGATCGAGGAGGAGCTCTTTCCATCATTTTCTTCTCTTTTTGCTTAGGTCCAATCTTAAGAGAAATGAGTGGTTATTTATAATTTTTTTAGGATGGCATGACCCATAAATAGGAGCATGATCAAGGGCAAATGGGGAGTGGTTTGGATGAACAGCTGATGTTGAATCATTTGATCGTGGGCCGTTCGTCAGACGTTTGAAGGTAATTATATGGAATTCGGCGATCTTGGGCTCGTTGGATTCGTCTAGTCGAGCCGCTCGATTCGACTATAAGCATGTCATGTTTCAAAACCGTTTGGTAATCCAATTTGTGATTTGAACCTTCCAACAGTGCTTCAGGTCTTTGATTAGGATCCATTTGTGCTCGGATTGAGTTGAATTTGGTGTCGTTGGGTTCGTATTTTCAAGACGCTCAGTTTGATTGTAAGTTTACTGAAATCGGAGTTCAGATAGTCCCATATTTAATTTTTAAAGTTTCCGGACTTTTTTTTCCTTGAGATTCATGCCAGATCAAGATAATTTTTTGATGATATATCAATCATATTTTTAACATAACTTTATATCTTAGATTTATATAAAGATATAAATTCAATACATATATAAATATATAAAGATACAATACATATAAAAAAAGGATAAATATGACATTAGAATAATTAGATGATTTATATGAAAATTTCAAAAAATGAAAAAAATTATGGGGCCTGACACAAACGAAATGGTCTATTTTATTGATAAATATTACAAAATTCTATGAGCATTGCACTTCTAAGCTTTTTTGGGTGTGAACGATTTCGGAGAACAGAAATGAAAAAGAAACGATGATAAAATGACTGAAGAATTGAATTCAAATTTATTTAATTTATTTTGTATTGTTGAGGAGAAAATAACTAATTTTCTTTTTTTAAATTTTTTTGATGATAAACTCAGTTTTTATTTCATCTGAACTCTGAAGAGAACATTGTACTCATATTTTTAGGTAAATTTAATTACCTTTTCTTTAGAAACTAAAAACAATATAAATTATAAAGTAGACGCATTTCTATATATTCCTCCCAATTCCTTCAAACCAGTCATAACCTTAGAATACTATTTAGAGTCAACTTTTGTTTTTCTTTTTATTTTTATTTTCAAAAAACAAACTAAAATTATTTTTTGTATTAATATTTATTTTATATTTTTAAAAATCAGGTTACTTTTAAAAATACTTGATAAATTCTAGGTGTTTTCAAAATATTTCTTTTTATGTGGAAAACACAACTGTAGACTATAACCATTTGACGCGTCGCCACCGTCCACTCACAACCACCATCCCCCACTTTTTGTAATATTTGATAAATATAAAAATGACACATTTAAAATATCAATTATATTAATATTTCATGTAAAAAAAAGATAAATAACTAAAAGATTAAAATAGAAAATAATGACAAAAAGACCTAAATAATTTCAACAATCATATCACATGACTCAAAGACTATTTAATTTGAAGTAAAATGAGTATAAAATATTTCAAATATAATGACTTTAAAAATATTGATGTTTAACTAAAATTTTGAAGTATTTAAAATGCATCCTCTAATATTATTTTGGAGCACTTAAAATCCCCCCTCCCCCGCTTCGCCGCAACCATCCAACAGCCAGGTTTTACACTATGTTCATTTTATTTCAAGTCAAAAATTTTATATGCTTTTACTCCACACTCATCTAAATAACTCTAAATATTTTAAATACATCATATTCTTTCTTATATTACATTCTCTTTTCAGCAAACCAAATAGCCCCGTAATCCAATAGCAGTGGCTTATTGACAGGTAAGTTGTTCCCGCGCAAACCAGCATAACCTTAAACATCACAGAGAAGTTAAAAATAGCCGTTTCCATTAAAGAATTCCATAATTTAGTCATTTTCCAAGAAAAAAGCCATTACACAGATTTCCTTTAATCTTCCTTCAAAAGCACTCAAAGAATATGCCTATCCAATGGATTTGAAAGGCCTAATGATATACAACAATCACTACAAGAAAATTATATACAGCTTCTACAATATGATAGACTATCTTGAGATAAATGAAATCAGCAGTCCAACTGGATAAGCTATCAAAGGCCAAAATCTTTGAATTTCATTAATATTAACTAAGGGATGAACTTTGTGACAAATATCATCGACATATTAATCTTAATGGCCACTCCTTCCGCAAAAACACTCTTCCCAGAATGCAATTGTACTGAGACATAATTCTGCTTCTCGTGTTATTGAGCTTCAATGACGCGTAGAAAAAGAGTTATTTCTCTATCGAATGGGATTAAATGTAGCTAGAAGATCCCAGTAATAAGTCATACATGTCATCTGGAATTAATAGAGTTGTACCACCAATAATCAATTCCATGTCGGGTCTACTGCTTTCTGAAATAGCTTCCATAGCTTCACGAATCTGATAACATACATAATTTGAGTAACTTATAGAACATAATTTAAGGGAAACGGAAGCTTTCAAAATCTAGAAATTAGAGATTAAGTTCATAAGCCTTTAGCTCTAAAAGTTCCATTACTGTTTATCCAAAGTTTGAAGTTTATTGGTTCTGATCAGGAGCTAAAAGCCAACAAGTAAGAGGATCTTGCTAATTTTATTTAACATTTCTCAAGCAAATATGACTGCAATTATAGCATTCCATTGAAATACTCAATAACAACAACATCAAGTCTTTGTCCCACTACGTGGGGTCGGCTGCATGAATCATTTTTCTCCATTGTGTCCTGTTAAAAGTCAAATTCTCGTTTAAATCTAATAAATCATTTCTAATATTTTCTAACCAAGTGCTTTTAGGTCTACCTCCACCTTTCTTAAAATAAGTCAAATCTAATACCTCTACTTTCCTAACCAAGTTATCGGAAGGCTGCCGTTTTATGTGACAAAACCATCTAAGGCGACTCTCTCTAATCTTATCTTCCACTGGAGCTACTCCAACATTTTCACGTATATGCTCATTTCGTAACTTATCTCTAAGGGTAAAGCCACTCATTCACATGAGCACCCTTATCTCTGCAATACTTAACTTAGTATTGCGCTTCTCTTTTAACGGCTAACATTCAGCACTAAAAAGCAATGCATGTCTCACCACCATCTTAAAGAATTTTCCCTTAAGTTTTGAGGGGACTTTTCTATCACACAACAAGCCCGATGCATTCCTCCACTTCAGCCATCCAACTTGAATTCTATTGATAATATCCTCATCTATTTCACCATCACTCTAAACAATAGATCTATGATATCTAAAATAAATTAAAATTGCAAATAATTACAAGGTTCTGCAAAAAAAAATGATTGCACCTGTTCATTCGATTTTATTACAATGGGACAAGGAAGGCAAATTGCTAAGGTTGAAAGTTAGGTTATAAAATTTATAACAGGTCAAAAGATTATAAATAAATTTTTAATGGACTCCATCTCAAAGGGAATGGTATGCGATCACAATATGGGGATGCCTTAATATACATTAAGGCATAGCACATGCATTGAAGTAAACTACTCAAACTAAATTAATTTAGGTGATATCAAATGCTTGGAAACAAATGGAGAAACATACCTCAAGACAATTAATACCTCCCACAACAAAAATTAGAAGAAGACTTTGGTCTCCAATATAAGGTTTTGCCTGTGGAGAAAAAAAATCTTTAGAGGACAAGGACCCTCGCAGTATAATCAATCTATCTTGCCAAAAACAAGGAGATAGAGAAATACCTGCCCAATGCCAAACCTACCAAATCCACTCTTGAAAAAACGACCTACCGCCGAGGAGTGGTATTCTAACCCAGGTATGTCATACTTGGCCATTACTGTAGCTAGAAGCTTATATATTAATCCTTTCCTGGCACAAGGATCGTTTCCATAGCTAGAAGGGGATGTTAGCGGACCTTCAATTAAAGACGGGCTTCTCCACTTTAATCCAGATAATTTGTGAAATAGTTTGAAAAGCTGATCCACCCTATCTCGCAGCTCTAGTTTAAGCTGCATATCTCCATATGCTTTGTCATTCGGTTGATCATTTTCTTCATCATCCCAGCTGCCCCAGTTATCATCAAAATCATCCTCATTCTTTGAAGGCTCTTCTTTTCTAGCATTAGCTTCAAGGTCCTTCGCCAAACCATGAAGGAATTGCAACTTTGTCATTTTTGGCTTTTGAAAAATGACATCTACAATAGCTTCCTTCAGCAAATGCTCTTCCTCCCATGAAAAAGGACTGCCAGATCCAGATGTTGGAAAATTTTCACCTGCCAAAATATATCCCACTATTGACAGAAGTAAAGCATCTTGGAAAGAGAGAGGACCAGCCTGTGGTTCCGTGTTATACTCTTCATGAGATCTCATTGCACTGCTAGTATTAACTAGATCTCGAATTTGGCTTGACAAGTTTTGGCTGTTGTCTAGTGAATTAACATTTAGTATTCTCTCAGCACTTACAAATGCATCCCATCTGGAACTATGGGGCTCACTCAAGGCCATTTCAGCAGCTAATGCCAACTGGATGATCCCTCTGTTCCTTACAAGAGAATTTTGATCTGGAACTAATTCTTTAACCATGGCATGAAGCTCTGAAAGGGTAGTAGAACCCGTAAGTCCTTTTAAAGGCATTTTTTCACGCTGCAAAGCTTCCATAAGCCACTTTTTTACTAGAAGAATTCCATCTTTCGTTTTTCTATCAAGAAGTGCTTCCAAGTAATTTTCTCCTGTATGATTGGAAAAAAAGCATCCGCTCAGTGAGTATGATTCATTGTCGGACTTCTTATTCTGAAGCTTGTCTGCATTATCAGATAGATCAGCAACAGCTTCAGAATCAACATTTGCTGAGTTCCAGCCTGACATGAAAGCTTTTATATTCCCTTCTAACTTAGTTCTAATCGTGTTAGAGCCTTTATTGCTTGGAATCATTGAAAAGGGTATTCTTATATCAAGTGTAGGATGCTGTACATTAGCAGGAAGATTTTTGTTCAAGGAATTGGAGCTTTTCATGGCGGAATATGACATAGCTCTATCCCTGCGAAGCAAAGAGGAAAGCATCCTATCAAGAAATGAGTCTCCGTGGCAGCAAGGTGTAAGAAGATCAAGAGTACGGTCTACGAGCAATAAACCAGCTGATCTGCGGTTGCGGCGGCCAACATCATAAAGACTAGACATGTCTTGCAAGATCTTGCCAATGACTTTGGATGTATCACCAAGGGAAAATATTTCCATCTTTAAATCCAACTGCAGATTTTTCAAAACAAAAAAAAAATCAGAAACAAAGAACAATTGAAGGTCTAAGCAAACCACTAATCGAAAAAAAGGTTGGCATGAGTGGCCAAAAAATTAACATCGTATTATGTTATGGTCAAGCAATACCTTTGCAGCCAAATTATATAAAAAATGAGCCGTCAGAGTTGCTCCTGGAGGAACATCCTCACCGTCAGAGGCCACCCCAGTGCAAATTGAGGGCAGACCAGGGCTAAGAGAACTTTCATTGTTGTTTGACAAGCATGCTTCTGCAACTGCCCCTTCTGAAGGAAAAACAAAGACTCTTGCTGAAACCGGACACAGTAACATTGGGTAATGATGCACACTGACCTGCAATCTTGTAGAACTGTTTACTTCAGTAGACTTGGAATCATCATATAAATCCATTTCACCAGAAATAGACTCCACGTTTAAATCATCATCCACTCTAGAATCCATTTGTGAGGAACCATTACCATTAGACGACAATGTATCAAGATCTCCTCTCGTTACCTGTTCTGTTTCATTATTCAGATGTGAATGCTTTTCACTCCTCTTACTCTTAATCAGTATCTCTTCATAATCTTGGACCAGCAAAGACTCATATTCATGAAATGCATCTGGGCCAAGGGGTGAATCAGCATACGCAGAGTGGGCTATCTAGAATTATGTAGGAAATCAGTTAAGAATAATATCCAGAAAAAGAAAACTGACAATTGTCAAGTTAAAATTTCTTAAGTGGCACCTCTCATGCTAGACTTCCAATTGTACCAATGATTACAACTAGAAGTTTCAGGCTAATTTAAACTTCGCTGTGACTCATACAGTACAGGAAGTAAATGACGTACATTATTGTCATGGCGGAGAAATTTTGACTACAGCAAATACTTCAGTAGAGATTGGTACCTAACAAATCTTACACACAAATTGCGCATAGAAAAGGTCATGAAAGACTTTGAAACGTCAAAATTTTCCTCATGATTGTGCTTTTGTTACAGTATTTAACTATTTATCACTCCTATCAATTTAATGGACTTTTTTTTCATGTACCACGGGCAAAAGATTTTGGCCACTGTTACCTGCTTTATATATTTACATTTCCAAATCCTATCCTTCCTCTTTTAAGAGGAACATTTCCTGAAACTTGCTCTCATCTAATGCAGGACAACCTTTTTTTTATTCCATTTGAGAAAAATATCATGCATCATATAAGAACTGCCAAAGAATCAAATGATGAAGAAAATAAAAGGAAGATAAATTTTCCTCTCAATTGAGTTAACCCTGCAGCTGCTCGCTCATTCCCGTTTCAAAGAAAATTAAATTCGTATCATCATGATTTTTTTTATTTACATATAACACCAAGAAAAAATATGAACTAGTAAACCAATGTATTTGTGCATACCACGATCAAATAAGAATTTAATAAAAAATACAAATTATAGTTCATGGTGCTCTTTGAGATTTGAGAAGATCATAAATAGTAGTACTTAAATATTAGTTTTGAAAATAGATTTGAATGTTATTCAGCAAAATACCACAACTTTTTAATACATGGATAATTTCTTATTATCATGCTTAATACAGACCATCCATTTAGATTGATCTTTCAAAAGGCATGCAGAATGAAGACTCGTACAGTGAGATTACTAGCGAAGAATGGATTGCAATTGCAAATAAAGAAAATTAAGTTCGTTTACAGACTTACAGTAACTCCAGCCATTAAAGTCAAACTTTAGGAAATACTTACCACTTTGCTCAAGGACAAAACTGTTGAAGGGTGATTCCGACAACTATTTACCTAATAGCAAGGCATCTCTACTAGCAAATTGCAATATGTAATCAAGTAGCTAATATCAAATCTAGCTGAGATAATGCTAGTGATAATGATGATGAAGAAAATTGACCACCAATGAAGTAAAACAGTTGTTAATAAATGATAAATAAATAAATAAGCACCTCTGAGATGGACGTAAATATAGTACAGTGAAGAATTGTCTGATGGGAGGACAGGCAACGCAAAATATAACGATGAGCATCGCTAAGAAGATGAGATGTAATAACTACCATCTTCTTTACTGGAATAAAATTTGAATTCCAATGTGCAGTCTGCAACCAACAAAAAAAAAAAACAGGAATTTTGCTTCATTAGCATGCTGCAATATAGCATGGAAGTCCAATACGTTATACAGTAAACAGACAATGGGTCAAGAAACAATCAAACTTATGGATATCAAATTGGCAAATTCAAGCAGCAGAAAAAGGATTACAACTAGTTAAGATGCAGGGATAAAAATAATGCAGTTTTTCTCATTTTATACCAAAAAAGTTTGCATTGATATTTTGTAATTTTTATGTCTGATCGTGAAAACTAGAACGGACAGCGAAGTTGAACAAATCAAATCATGAACTGGTTCTCAAATAAATCTAGTCTACTTTAAAAAAAAAGGATTTGTAGGAAAATGATATTGGCCTGTAAAAAACTAATGGTCAATCATCACTTTATCTGTGTTATATTTGCGTGTGTGTATTATCATTATTCATTATTAGAAATATTAAATCATTTACATAATTTTAATAATATTTACATCATTATGGTTAAACCTCCAGTTGGATCCCGGTTAAACATTCTAAGCTTAAACATTTCCTTCCAACAGTTCACTATCTGGTCATGTTTCATGTTCATTGTTCAATATGATTCTAAAAAAATAAAATTTTAGTACATTTGACAGAGAGATTAGCCAAACATGTCGGGGGTGGGAGACAATGGTTTTGTCAAATGATCTCTACAAGCTCAAGCTCAATACCATCATAGCAGGCTCCTTATAGATATATCATATGCTACTGTAGAATAAAATATGGTAAATTTAGAATCCTTAATTGGTGATTTGGACAAAGCATGACATTTTTTTAGGAAACCAGCTAGATATTTTATTTGTCTGATCAATGATCCTCTGCTTCCTTTATAAAGAAAAATCTATAGCTAACCTAAGCTCTATCATCTGGATGCAGAGCAAAGTAACAGGAAAATTTGGAAGCCATGAATTGCTGAAGAGGAGAGTTAAATAGAGAAGAACATACTAGAGACACAATATATGGGAGAGGAAGAAGCATACCGAGCATCATTTTATTCAATAATCATAACATATCTTTTATATGATCCTTGGATCTTTAATTATAATAAAAGATCCTACAAAAAAATACTAAAAACAAAACTTATTCGATTCTGGAACTGATTACAATGCTCATAAAAATAAGAACTAAAAAAAAAAAAACTTAAAAGAACTAATAAAAAAATTCAATGATAATTCAACTAGGACACTAAAATAGGATCCATAATCGATGTTTATCCAACATCAATTCTCGCATGGTGTAGAAATTGTGCTCCAAAGAGTTTGAATTTAATCAGAGAAAGACACAGGTCTTCTACTGTAGTGCTAAAGTAGTGAAATCCTTCACGCTAGAAACGCATACCAAAGAAGAGATGAAGGGAACACATTTTGAAAAAGAAGAAGAGATGAATGCATCCTTAAGGTTTAGAGTCTAAATTTCCTCATCCATAAATTTATGGACTTTACAGTAAATTTAAGTTCAAAATCAGCTACATAAACTCTTGACCAAACTTTTTATGTAAAACTCAACCCTTAAATCTCTTCATCAAATAATAAATTTGTCAATCTTTCAAATATAACCAATCCATATCAATCATCCACAGCAATAACAAAATCAAAGAGATTTTGGGGGTTTTGGGGGTTCTTCTCAGGATATCTCCAAGCGACCAACAATAGTGATGGTTGGGATCTTCGAAGGAAACATTGAGGTCTGGTCAATGAAGTTAACCAGCAAAGGAAATTAAAAGGAAGGGTTGTTCTACAACTGTAAACAGTCAAAGGTGGTTAAAAAGGTTAGCAATGAGTAATGTTGAGGTCGGTAGCAATTTCTAATACCAACCCTCAAACCTCAGTTGAGAGGCAAAGAGTTATAATTGGATGGGTGCCAACAAAGAAAACGCAAAAGAAGGGTTGCTCTACAAGTATAAAAAGTCAATGGTGGTCAAAAGGTCAGCAATGACTAATCATGAGGTCAGTGGTAATTTCTGGCGCCAACCTTTACTAGGTACTCAATCAGCAAAGAGTTATAGCTCGATGGGTTTCTATAATTGGTGCTTACAATAGCTGGATGAGGATAAAGAACCTATATATATATATATATATATATATATATATATCAACAATTTATACAACAAATAATCTTCAACTTGAGTAACCTTCCAAGCCAATTTCGCCCTCAAGAATAGTCTTGTAATGCCTAAAATATAGTGGAGCACAATAACTTTTTTGTGACCGTGAATGTATACCTTTTTTAGTTGAATCACATAGATTTTAATGCTCTTTCACATTATTTGGTATTTTATATTTTTACTTTGTGGTTCATTGTTTTTCTTTTTGTTGGTGTTTTTAAATAAAAGTTGGGTTTTTCCTAATAAAATTAGAGCGTAATATGGAATACGCCTACCATAAAGTTTGCAATAAAAAATTTGATGGTGTGGTGTTGCAGTCCCATAGAGACTTTTTATTTTATTTTATTTTTTACAGTCCCATAGAGACTTGTGAAGGCATTCATGCGTGAGCAAATATGCCTATGATTATGAGTAAAGAAGATTAAACAGATAATTGTTGAAAAAACTCTTTCCTTTATTCAACTATGTTTGAAGATGAGGTCTTCGAGGAAACAATCACAAAGAAGTTGTGGGCTCAATTTGGTGTCTTTATATATGAACAAAAGACTAAACAACATGCTTTATTTAAATCAATGATAATATTTGTTTCAAATAAATAATACATGAAAATGAAATCACATTTGGATGATTTTAATTCAATTTTTCAAGACTCAAAGAATATTTATACAATATTTAATGAAGAAGATCAAACTTTAAAGCTATTGTTCCCTTTATCTTCCAATTTGAGAGAAAATTCGGCGAAGGCGATTGAAATCATTGAAATGCGTGCATGAAGATATACAAGGTTGCCTGAATGACCTCTGTTTGCAAAACATATTGCACGAGATCCAATCCCCCTCCATGAAAGGACCAAAGTCAACAAGACTTGAATTTACAAGATGACATGAATCACCAAATTTATCAAAATATTTTAATCTTAAAGTTCAAGGCCTCTTTAAGAGAAGCTCAGTATAAGAAATGAAAATATATAAACTCTCAGTTGTCGACACCTATACGATAATCCCTAAAGTCACCAGGTGAATCCACTCCTTTGTTGGAGAGCAAACAAACTTGAAAAGGTTCAAAATACATAATAAAGTTGCCAACATATCCCCCATGATGGTCGTGCAAAAAGTGAATCTCAACTGAAGGGGATCCGACATTTTAAATACGCTCAAGCTCAGATCATATGCAAATATATTTTAAAGTGATTTAAATGTCAACTTGATGATGGTCGTGTTGACAGAAGATTTCAACTGGGTGACCACGTTACTTATTAAAAATGCCCTATAAATCCCAAAGTTAACTATTAGAGGCGTAAGTTTCAATAAAATTATAAATCTACTATAATTTAAAATTTGAATTATCCAAATAAAATTGAACACCTAAAGACTTAAAGAAAAACTTATCTGCCCTCCGAAACAATTTATCAAGAGTGATAAATTTAATAATAACTTCAACTCATAAATGTGAATGTTTGCTCCAGTGTACTGGTAAGATTCACTCTCAAACCATCTTTCATCAGTAAGAGCGTGTCATGTGTCTTCTAACCGATTGTCTTGACGCCAAATGGCACAACATCTAGTCGAGCGTACTGGTAAGATTCATTCTCAAACCATCTCTTGTCAGTAAGGACTTGACATGTGTTGGTATCATCGTCAAATGGCACCACAACTAGACGTTTTTGACCTGAGCCTTCTGACCTGATGGTTTTATTGCTAAATGGTACAACTAAATTACGATCACAATTAGAGCCCACATGTTCCCTAATAGCTATAAACCCTTGAGTAATAAATCATAAGATATACTTGAGAGGGTATAAAGTCCTCTGTTAAGTAAGGTTGGCTCAAATGTGCCCCCTTAGGCAAACATTTACCTCAAATCTATAAGATCCCCTTAGACGAAGCACCCATAGCTATCGACAAGGATCCTTCGATCAGGTTAAGTCGACAATCTCCCCTGACTAAGTAGACAATAATCACAACAACCCAGATAATGGAATCACTCATTCCCCCATCACCCACTTTAAGTAAACGGTGATAGACTTCAAACCCTAAAAATCCTAAAAGTCCAACATCCAAACCCAAGTTGCTGCAACTATACCCTGGGTATTTACTGCCTATCTGACAACTTGCCTTAATTGACAGTGCTCTCTTATTATCAAGAGGGATAATCAACTATAATAGAGGCTTGCACCTATAGGAAATCAAACCTTAGTCAAAAAGCTCCCGTAAAATAAGGGCGAAATATCTAGGTAGTGTATTATCTAAAATCCAATCTACCTTCTAAAAAATTACCTTGGAACATAATCTCGCTAAAACTCTCTCAATCATTAAAAAAGGCACGAAGAGGCCGGGTTGTGAATTTTCAGATCCCACACAAAACAAAATATACGAGGTGAAACGCAATAGTGTTCTGGATAATGTAATATATTACTGTTTAAAATGCAAGGCATAGAATATTATTGGCAGTCTTGAGTCTTTGAATAGAAAAATTGACAAGTGAGGGATAACTATGATAAGTAATTAGATAAGAAATCAGGAGAAAAAACAAGGAGGAAACATTCATTTTGAAAGGTTTCAAAATTTTATTCATTTAGAGGCAAAAAGCCTAGCAGAAGAAAAATTAAATTAACCCATAATGTTACATTCTTTTGTAATATTAAAAAAACGACCAAAATCATCTAACATTTGCATTCACAGAATAGGAAATCAAGCACAGAAAAAGGGTAAAAGTTAGCGGATTATGTTATTTTGTATAGAACTTTAATCATGGAAATAACCAGAGATTAAGAACATAAACAGTGAAATAATAACCATTAAATTTTCAAAACTAAATATAAGAAAAGGAATTGAAAGCCTGAAAAAAAAAAAGTTTCAACGAGAACTAAACACACTTACAATGTCTAGAGAGGACATATTTTCCAGGCTGCAAATAGCACGGGCCCCAAGTTCCAAGAAAAGTGGAAACGCACCAATGAACTGGAAAGCCTCTAAACAACCAGCATCAAGGTAAAGGATAGAGTCTACAATGTCATCTGTAATCTAGAAGATTAAAATAGAGGATTAAGTTTGACAGACATTAGCTGAGGCCAAAATTTCTAAATGAGGAGATGGTACGTCATCATCTGTAATCTAAAAGATTGAAATAAAGGATTATGTATAATAGCCGACGCAAATTAAAGCAAGATGATTTCCCCATAAGAGCTAAGCAGAAAACTACTAACCTAATTCAATTCATCATCCTTAACCATATCACACGTATTTACAATTAAAAAATGGCATCAAGAATAGAGGAAGAATGCTACCTGGCGAATAGAATCAAGGCACAATCGGATCAAATCAATCGAAGCCATCCCAGTGAGTTTTTGGATTTACGAATGTCACTCGAAGAATGTTACAGCTACGTTTTAACCAAAATTCATCGACCGGAAGCCGTAAGGAGGCTAAAAGGCAAGAAGTATGGGAAAAAGCCGACGACCGCGGATTGGAGGAACCCGCGGCAAGCGGCGGTAGCCGGCCTTCATTAAGGAAAGGGGCCACTGGATCGCGGCGGACGACCTACAAAGCTATTTTGAGGCAGATCTGATGCTTCTACTTAACTATGCCGTAATAAGTTCGTAAAAATAAGGGATTGAAGAAGAAGCGAAACAATTATGAGGTAATAGTGGCGGTTTGCTGCAAAAAAAATTTAGCCTCAACCCTCATGTCCCTCATCAAGTGTTTGCTTTTAGGTGAAAGCTATGATTTTAGGTTTAAAAAAATATTTATTTTATATATTTTAAATATAATTTTAAATTTAATTTATAAAAAATTAATATATTTATTGAATTTATAATATATTTAATTTTAAACTAAATGCATTAAAATGATGAATTTTAAATTTTAATTATTTTAAAATATAATTACTGATTTCAAACAACCACCAAATGAGTCCAAACGAATTTTAAGGATTTTCCTTTTCTACAAATTTCTAAATTATTAATTTAGAAATATTCAATTAGTATGTAATAATACTCTTTTAAGCTATTTTTAAAGGGGTTAAAAGTTGATTTATCATCAACATCTTTAATATTATTTTAGATATTTGTGAATTTTTTTAGTTCTTTTTTATTTGATTTTAATTTTACTTGAGATGTTAAATAGTTTATATTATTTTTACACAACTATAATCAAATTATTTTCAATTTACTTTTTTCTCAAAATTTCAATGATAATTTTATGTTTTCTTTTTAGTGCGTTTTTGTCTATCATTTTTATATGATCACATAAACTATATTTTTTTATTTACATTAATTATATTATTTGGTTTCCGTATAAAAAGTTATGTATGTTAATAAGTTACAAGAAATGCTTTTCTTCGATACAAGAAAATGTTGTAAATTATTTATTCATTATGCTGTGTATTATAAGCATTTATTATCCTCATCTTTAATCTGTGCTTGCTTAAATTAATTAATTAACTTTCCAGCTATAATTATTTATTTCCCTGAATAATTTACAACATACTATCTCATTGCCTATGTTTTTTTTTTTTTTTTGCAACAAATCAGTGCATTCATTAACAGAAAAGAAATTATAGAAAAACATCCAAATGTGGTCAATGAAGGAAGAACAACAGAATAAAAGGCAACTTAAAAAAATCAAAAGACAACAATATTAAAAAGAAGGCTAAAAAGCCAGTCGGACTCAACAGCACCACTCAATTGCCAGGCAATGACAATCCATTGGCGGCCAAATAAGCATGCATCATGAAGCTCCAAAGAGCACTAGAGCGAAGAGAACAACCGCCAAGATTGCCAAAACAAGCCTAGTCCATTCAAGGGGCCGAGTAGTGAAACTACCTCATCATAGTCCAATGATCCAACCAAATGACGGCACTATAAACAACCAGCTAAAAACCCAAATGCAAAAGCAACACACCAAGTAACTAACTGACCTCAGCATTAGAAACCCCACAAATGGGCCACAAAAATCACAAAATGAAAAAACCAAGATAACAAAAGAGTACCTTTTTTTCAATTTCTTTTTGTTTATTCGCCTATTTCATTTAGAGCCCCCAGCGGAAAGGGCTTCATCCTCAATACGAGCTACATTCAAGCCAAACAAATATTGAAATTCATCTCTAGACTCAAGACATTTCATCCCCATCAGCCCGAACTTCAAAAGAGGAATAATCCTCCCGCCACTCAGATTATCTCATTGCCTATGTTAATGATACTGTATAATACATGATTAGGCTAACAGTATGATTATCATATGATCACCAAATCCCAAATAGCCAAAAAAAAAAATAACAATTTTTATTGCCAGTAATTTATAATTTTTTGAATAATTTAAATACATCAATCACAAATATATATAATAAAGATGTTGAAATGTATTAATAAGATCCAAAAAATCCAATCTTATCATACGCACAGCTATAAAAATTGATCATAAAGTTACTCCATTTATCGAACAATATCTCTAACATTGATGCATTGGCAATCTGCTCTACACGAAGGCCAATTATAGGTTCCCATTTCAGGTGAAAATATGTAGCAAAAATATCTAGAATAACTATTAGCAGCTACTTAAGCAACTAGATACACAAATAGTTACAGAAATCAAGACGAACATGTTAAGTAGAAAGAGCGGCATTGGACTTCTTAGTTGGACAGAGCAAAGATTTAGTAAAAAGCAGAAGAAGCCCATTTACTTCAGTGATTGTTCTATGAGAAAACAAAACACAATTTAACTGTATGGTATGTTCTGAAATCAACAACTGCACCCACCAGATTGAGCCTGTGACTGCGATGAACTTGCATTGCTAGATTTCAAATTCACATCGACCATGTCTTCCTGCTTTGTTGAGGAAAGATTTTCCATCCCCGGCAAGGCTGCCGCGATCTTTCGGAACAGTGCCTGCCAATTATTTTCCGATCATGTAAGAAAATGGAAGAATATTGCAGAGAATGGATATATTGCTTATAAAATATATATTGTTGCCATGATAATGATGTTACTTTAGGTTTGGGCATCCAGTTCTTTTAGGATTTGAGGAATAAAGGATATCAGAAGTGATTTTTCAAATCTGTCTACACGAACCTTTATGTTGAAACCAGCTTTGGCACTTGTTTCAATGAACATAACGCCAAGTTCTTGTGATTTTGCCTCCCCTTCCTCTATGGAAACTTGTCTGTTGCACCATCCAAAAGGAGAGTTTTTTAATATAATATATTTAACACAAAAGCTCATAAAAAAGCTCAACTAAAGCACGAACATCAAACCATTTTCTTAACAAAACACTACAAGTAACATACCAAATTTATCTAAGGGTTATCACGATATATATATATATAAAAGCAGGTCTAAAATATAGTAATGCTGGCCAGCACAAAAGCACGAGTAGGAAAATGAAATGGAAATTTATGCAAAGGCCCACATATCTTCAAAGTAAGGAGATATTACTCAAAATATGAGAGAACTTATAGACAACGTAAGTCTATGGCCAACCCAGTTAAGATCAAGATCTACAGCCTGCAAGTTGCAAAGCAATCATGAGAAAATTAAGGTTTCGTTTAGTATGACTTTTTTACTGCTTCTTAAAACAACTTTCTAGTTAAAATTTTTTAATTTTTATATTAAAAATCTGTTTTTAGAAACAGGAAAAAAGCTGTCCCAGATGAACCCTAAGTAAATAAAGCATAAACATTTGCAGCTAGATAGTACAGATCCTTTAAACTATTTAGGATTTGCTTTAGTTTAGGTAGGATTACAGTTATTGAATTTAGATCTTATTGGCGAATATTATCTTTGTAAAACCAAGTTCTAAAAATAGAGATCAAGGGCTTGTTTCCAATTGTTAAATGAATTAAATCAAAAACATTTCCCCAAATCTCCTCTCCCAGTTTACTATGGCCATTCTTCCCCCTTTTCCTATATTGAATCTCTTTCTCCTACCAACCAATTCTCCTTTCTCGCTTCTCTTGCATACATCATTTGATAATCGAGTCAAGTTGATTGCTGCCACATAACAAATAACACTCATGTTATTTTAGGATTTGATTCAACTAGTTTATTTAAAATAAAGTTTTATATTTATTTTATTAGATATAACTTTTTGGAAAATTATAGATTTGAATTAAAATTATTTAAAAATATACTTAACGCATGCAAGACTAAATTTGAATTCAACCCATTGATCATATATGTGAGTCTTATATTTTTAACCATTTTTTTATAAATAAAGGATACTGGCTTGTATTTTGGAACAATTTATAAATGAGTTGAATTAAAGCCTGCTTTCTTATCATCCCCTTTGTGGCATTGTATTATAAGTCACCCAAAAAAAAGCCTTATTCATACTCGCCCAAGAGAATAGCCTCTCCCAATATTTTGAAATCTCATATTATATCAAGGAGTTGAATCCATACAGAGAAAATATTTTCACACCCATAACTAAAATTTTAATTAAACATACATAGTTTTTTAAATACCCCAGATACTTATTTATAATCACCAAATTGAAGCAATAAAATTACTCCAAAAACAACCACAAAAAAAAACATAAAAACTACAAAACCTAAAGAACCTCCCAAAGAACTGCAACAAGCAACACTCACAAAACCTATTACAATTCTATAAAGTGCATTGTACAAGCCCATACTGTGCTACAATCCTTCAGGAAACATTGAAAAGCTGCCAACAAAAAATAAAATCAAGAATTCGATAGAACCCACTAACAAAAACACCACAAGTGTAACAATCCAAATTTTTATCTATCAAGATATTGTCCACCTTGGCATACTTGGCCTCAGAGTTTTGTACCGCTTGTGCAATTTTCCAAGGGTTCATCCCTCTTAGAAGTCCTCCAATATGAGCATATTTAATTTTAGAGTTGCCAAATTCAAATATTTAATGACCGCTATTTAATATTAAATAGATATTACAATCTCCTTGACAAAAGAAATGGCGCCCTCATTAGCAAAACTTCTAGAGGTGAACCATACAACAACAACAACAACAACATCAAGCCTTTATCCCACTACGTGGGGTCGGCTACATGAATCCTTTTTCTCCATTGTGTCCTATTAAAAGTCAAATTCTCGTTTAAATCTAATAAAGAAAGGTCATTCCTAATATTTTCTAACCAAGTCTTTTTAGGTCTACCCCTACCTTTCTTAACATAAGTCAAATCTAATACCTCTACTCTCCTAACCGGGTCATCGCAAGGCCGCCGTTTTATATGACCAAACCATCTAAGGCGACTTTCTCTAATCTTATCTTCTACTGGAGCTACTCCAACCTTTTCACGTATATGCTCATTTCGTATCCTATCTCTAAGGGTAAAGCCACTCATCCACCTGAGCATCCTCATCTCTGCCACACTTAACGTTATAAAAAGTAGCTCCTATAATGTAACGTTCTGTCTATAATAAATTAAATAGATTGCTCCATTGGCATAGCACTAGCATATATGATATTTAGTTCTAATATTCTGACAAGTGTATTACTTTGATATCATCGAGATATTGTCCGCTTTGACTTAATTAGCCTCATGATTTGATCATATTGATGCAACTCTCAAAAAATCATACATCCTTAAGGGGGCTGTTTGGTTGCCTGAAAAAAAAAATGCAGTGTAAAATAAATACAATGTAAAATAAATGTAGTGCATCATAAATACATTGTGACTGTTTGGTTCTCTGTAAAATAAGCGCAGGAGAATTGTTCCCCTAGTTTGATAAGGTAGATCCAAAGTAAAGTAAAAACGGATTATTTATAATAATTTGTTTTTGCATTACAACCCTCCCTCACCGTCGTCGCAGCCATCAACCTCAATGGTGCCGACATCGCTGGATTCTTGCCCCCTGAACTCGGGCTCCTGTCTAACATCGCCGTCTTCCACCTCCCCTTAATGCTCAGAAACCTCGTCGTAATCACCGACGTCCTGCACTGCATCGCATCCATCAACGTCAAGTCCAGTCCTTGCGGCCTTAGAGTCAGATTCACGAACACATCAATCGAGTTATAAAAAGCTCGCAGCTTTGCAGGCGGAAGTGCACCGGCAACGATAATCTTCTCCCCCCCTCCCCCAACTCCCTATACCTCTGCTCCCATGGCCCCGACCCGGTCACCACCAAATATACCTTGGGATGTCGTTTTGTTATCCCAGCAAATGCTTGGAACAGAAGAAGATGTCCTTTGTTTTTCACAAGCCGTCCGGCGATGCCCATTACAAGATTGGCGTCTTCCGACACCCAAGCTCTTCTCGGAAGGCCATTCCAAGCTCCAAGTCCGGAAATCGTGTTCATCAACTCCATTCAGTTTAACGTGGACCCGGCCTTGTGGGATTTGGTAAACATCACGAAGGATTTTGATACGCCTTAGGTTTCACAAATTAGGGTTTGCCCTAATTTTCCTTTAAGGATGAAGTTTCTCCACCAAATCAAAGTTAACTCAAAACAAGAATGATGAGAGGAAGAACAAAAGAGCTTTGCATTAATCTTCAAGACAAAACAAAAGACAAAGCTAGTCCACTTCGAGAAGGACCAAATCTCCCAAAAGAAACCCTAGAGAAAACAAGAAGGAAAAGAAAAAGAACTTTCTTCACATGATGCCCCCAAAATAAACCCTAATGGCTCCTTTCATACAATCTCACAACTTCCCCCTCATCCCTAAATTACCCCCCATCATCCACCCTCCATTTTCCCCCCAAAACTTGGCCTCCCAACTTGATGCCCAAGGATTTAAGTAAGTGGGCCCAAAGGGCCCACCGTGACCCTCTCCCTTTTCTCCCCAGGTTCGGCCGCCCCCCCCCCCCTTTGGCTCACCCGGGCCGAAGGCCCCGCCTTCCGCCTCCTGTAGACCCGTAAGGGTCTCGGATGGACCAGCTCAGCCGGTCCATCAGATTTCGCCACTGCTATCGCTGATAGAGGAATGGAGAGCTTCAAGGGAGATGTCGTGCCACGAGACAGCGAGGTTGGGGATGCAATCCGTCAAGTATTGGAAGGATGGAGAGAAGCCTTAATGAGATTATTCTTCTTAATGATAATCTATCTGGGTATATTCCACAAGAGGTTGGGAGGTTGAAGAAACTTATTGTCTTTGATGTGAGCTTTAAAAGGTTGCAGGGGCCGATTCCACTGACTTTTGCGGGGTTGACAAGTGTAGAGCAGCTTGATGTGGGGAGAGGTTTCCAATGCCGTTTGTGCGCCTCCAGCAGCCCCGCGGTTTTATGCAAGTGAATCAACTCAAGCCGATCGATATCATGGTTTAAAATTGCGCAATATGAGGCTCGCCTTGAGGCTCGCCTTTGTGCAATTCCAGTTAGAATATATTAGGAATGACCTTTCTTTATTAGATTTAAATGAGAATTTAACTTTTAATAGGACACAATGGAGAAAAAGGATTCATGTAGCCGACCCCACGTAGTGGGATAAAGGCTTGATGTTGTTGTTGTTGTTGTAGTTTTTTAAATACCCAGATACTTATTTATAATCACCAAATTGAAGCAGTAAAATTACTCCAAAAACAACCACAAAAAAAAAACATAAAAACTACAAAATCTAAAGAACCTCCCAAAGAGCTGCAACTAGCAACACTCACAAAATCTATTACAACTCTATGAAGTGCATCATACAAGTCCATACGGTGCTACAATGCTTCAGGAAACATTGAAAAGCTGCCAACAAAAATAGAATCAAGAATTCTGATAGAACCCACTAACGAAAAACACCACAAGTGTAACAATCCAAATTTTTATTTATCGAGATATTCTCCACCTTGACCTCGGTGTTTTGTACCTCTAGTGCAATTTTCCAAGGGTTCATCCATCTTAGAAGTCCTCCATATTTAATTTTAGAGTTGCCAAATTCAAATATTTAATGACCGCTATTTAGAATTGAATAGATCTTACAATCTCCTTGACAAAAGAAATGGCACCCTTTTATCAGCAGACCTAGAGGTGAACCATCTAGATTTAAAAAGTAGCTCCTACAATGTAACACTGTCTATAATGAGTTAAATAGGTGGCTCCATAGACATAGCACTAGCATATATGATATTTAGTTCTAATATTCTGACAACAGTATATTTTGATATCATCAAAATATTATCCACTTTGACTTAACTCGCAAAAAATCATATATCCTAAGAGTGCCCTAATATGAGCATTCTTATCAAAATTTCTAACAAAACTCCAACTATTATACTAAAAGGCACAAAGATGTTTAAGATTTATTTTTATTTTACAATACTTATTGGGTATAATAGCAAGAAAAATAAAAAGAATCACTAACAAAAACATCATAAAACCCATAATCGTCACTATCCCATAACTATAGCCACTCGAATCATTATGATTCAGAGCCCCTCAAAGGCCAAAGGAGGAGATATATAAAGAAGAAAGGCCAAAGAAATTGCATTGGTGGCACGACCAATAAATCTATAAAAATACAAACAAAAAAGATAATAAATCAAAAGCCCAATTTTTGATAGCATGCCCAAACAAGAACCGCTCAAGATGCACTCCCTTACTGCCAAAATAGCTCAGCTATACAATTGAATTTATTAATTACATGCAAATTTCATATTTTCAATATTTAAGTCCATGACTTTTCTTCCCATAAGAACTCATTATCACCATCATTAACATCAATGTTAGTCATAACACAATTTTTTGAGATAAGCGTTAAAAATCCTCATCCAAAATTCATTCCTATATAGTATTTCTTGATGTGTTAAATTCTTTTTGCAAAAACCTCTTTGCACAAATTCTATCCATCTTATCATTGGTCAACTAATTTTATCATCCAAATCCTTCCATTAATTAGTCTATCTTATTAATGAATAATCTATCCTCTATTGTACATGCCCAAATCACTTGCAGCTATATTTTTATTTTATCTGCAATAGCTGCTACTAACATCATCACTATCATCATTACACTGATATAACCATTTGAGGTAGGCTTTACATTCTCCATTCATTTTTATAGTATTGCTTGAGATGATAAATACATTTTGAACAAATCTCTTTATACAACAGGTATCTATGTTACCTTGGGTATGCCAACTTTTCCCTTCTTAATACTTTCACATTAATTTATCTACTCAACTTATACACAAACCACTTCTTTATCATTACTATACTGCCCATATAATTTATTTTATGTTTATACAGTACCAATTTGCTTAGCCATAATCCCTATAGTTCGCCTTATTTTATCTTTTGTTGTTACTAAACCAACAAACGAGAGCCTGATGACTTCTGTACTTTAAAACACCAAGAACCTTGCCTGATTTAAAAATCGATGCTAGTCAATGATCTTCTCATATCAAAGCCGTTCTGATCATCTTAAGTGGCATACACATACAATCATTTGCTCTCAAAACGCAGAGTTACTTCAATTAAACTAAAGAAGGTCCGTCAATAAATCCTATCTCAAGTAATGTCAACTAAGCCATTATAAGACCCCTTTCAACAGTCAAGCTTGTAACTTACTCACAGAAAAAGAAAGTGCAACAAACTATTATTGAATCGTAAATTGCAATGAAATCAAACCCAAAAAAAATTATCTCACACGTTATGAACCAGTTCATCTTCCCAAAATGGGTAAGAAAACTAATTATTGACAAACCACAGCGATCTAGTTTTCATATGGGTAATTGGGTACGGCACCTTCTGATGCCAATGTTAAAGAGAAAATGTGAGGAAAAGCCTAATTTAAGGATGATCTTCAACATGCAAAAACTGATTACCTTTTATCAACAAGGTCAGTTTTGTTTCCAACAAGGACAATGATAACATCACTGCCCCTCTCTGTGCGGACCTCATCTATCCACTTTGATGTGTTCAGGAAAGATTGACGACCTACATTACCAAAAATGATGCAGTTAAAAACTATAAATTATTTGCAAGGATCATCCAAGAGGTTCAATATTTATAAATGCAGCTTAAGTGCAAAAATTATACTTGTGAGATGGGAATGTTGTCCAAGTATAGAATTTCTAAAGGCCATTTAAAGACTATTCTATAAGCATCATACAAATGTTTAGTAATAAACATACTTGCAACATCATACACAATGACTGCAACAGAGGAGTCACGAATATAGCTTGGTATCAGACTCCTGAACCTCTCCTGCCCTGCAGTATCCCTGCACATAAATAGAAAGTAATTTTTTAAGCGAACAAAAACTTTAAGAAAACATTAACAATAATGTCTAATCAATTACTCCGCATTGGACAGCATGAGAACTATTCTTACCAGGTCCAGATAAAATCAATTTTAATGAGCATAAAATTATTTCAATATTTTGTTAAAAAGTTCTATTATCTAATTAAACCATTTCGATGCACTCACAAGATAGGTAAGTAAAATCAATGATGAAATCTTAGAAATGAAGCAGCATAAATCGAAAGAAACATGCTTAACATGTTTGGAAGAATCTTCTAGAGATATCCCATTCATGTCATTTACATATTTTATTTTCATTAAAAGTGACAACTCTGCTCCTCATAAATTTGTTATCCTCATAATCCAGGCAAACATCACTGAGAGGTGGTTAAATGAATTCTCATATACTTAAGAGGGATTGAACCACAAGGATATGTAGATTTTGATCTTGCTAGAGATATTGATGATAGTATAAGCATAACTGGCTATATCTTCACTTTAAGCATTGAGTTAGGTTTCCAAGTTATAAAAATTTGTTGCTCTATCAACCACAAAAGATGAATACATTGCTATCATTGAGGCTAGCAAGGAATGATATCACTGCAAAGATTTAGAGCATAACTTGGCAAAGGGAAAAAGGGCAAAAGAATGGCAAACAACATGATGAAAACACGAGTGTTATTCATATAGCAAAGAATGTTGCATTACATGGCAAGACAAAACATATCTAGCTTCAGTATTATTTCATTCGTTCACTCCTAGAAGATGGTCAATTATCTTTAAAGAATATATATACATCTTAGAATAGAGAGCTCATCACCATGGCATTATAGTTCCAGCGCCACGACGTTGTAAACTTAACAACACTATGCTCTAAGTTCAGCGCCATGGCATTTGCATGTGGCCTTCAAGGCCTTCTATGACAAAGATTCGTCCAAACAGTCGGTTTTTGGGCTCTCTTACTATTAGGAAAGCTTGTAGGCTTTCTTAAATCTCTATATTATAAATCCCACATGTGAGCTCATCAACTATAAAAACTATAATTCCCGCTCATGAGTTTCCCTAACACTTAAAAGTTCAAAGTCTCGACGTTTAGATTACTGTGCCATTGGAGTTGTAAGCCCCACCCCCTAATTGAATCCATGTTAAAAAATAATATTGGGAAACTTGAGCTCAATGACTTTGCATGCATCCACCAAATTCGAGCCTATACAAGTGAATAATAGAGTCGACACAGTCTGCTATCTGACAACCTTCATACAAATGAAAACAAAATCTTTTCAGACTCAGTTGAACCGATCTATTTTGCTAAGGACATAGACACACCCTTATTGGTCACAGACTCACAGTCAATTATGGCATGAAACTAACGTTCTCAAGTTGAATCAAATAATAAAATAAATAATGGATATTATCACCACTTAAAAAAATTACAAGTAAAAAATAAAACATCAAGACGATTCAAGTAAAATGTGTGTAGGGGTTCATTGTCTCAATTTGCATAATTGCATACCAAAACATTCCATCCCAATGATGGGTTAGGCTATCAGAAATATACAATATATGGGATCCTCATTATAAAATTGCCCTAAAAAATTTAAAACATGATCCTCCAAGCTATTCAGCCTCATAATGGGTATGCTTATTATATATCATGACATAAGAGGTTCACAGACAAATAAATTAACACCTAGCATAACAAAAAATATACTTCAAGATCTTCTATACCGTTATGATCGGATAGGTTATTAGAAAAAATAATTGGAGGGGCTTTGTCAATTTATATTAGCATGCCTCACAAAAAAAACTGCAGGGGCTTTGCCAATTCATATTAGCATGCCTTAAAAAAAAACAATCCATACACTGAAGACTCTCAATCTCTAATGGTGGGAATGATTATCAAATATCGTAACTAGCAAGGGTCAATATCTATATAAACCACAAGTGCTCAAACCCTCAATAGTAAATCAATTTAACTAATCATAAAGCTTTGACAATCAACCAAGAAGAAATTCAAGGCTTGCAAAGCCTTAACAAATAAAGGCGAAAAAGTGAAAGAACAATCAGTTCACCTATAGCCAAGTAAGATAAGGGTATTAGAACTTTCAAAATTGCAACAACCTTCCTCATCAACAGTCAAAGAAGATCATGTGAAGTAGGCCCTATAATGGTCGGTTGGATCGATCCAGTTGAATTGATTAAAATGGTGAGCCAAGCTTAGGGATAACGAGAGTGAGTGAGGCACGGTCGAGCAAAGCCTCACGTCCGAACAGACACGACTCCTCGTGCGTAGAAGACAGGTATGAGGCTTCAATATGAGGTAGTGGTGTGTGTATGCAATGAAGTCGAGGGAAGAGGAGAGAGTTCGCTCACATTGATGAAAGAGAAAGAGGAGAAAAGGAAAAAGATGGAGTTCATGCGAAACCAGAGGAACGTTTTTTTTAGCCCTACTTGACATGAACGGAGACAAAAGACAAAACCTCTTTGCTAGAATTAGAAAGTAAGAATGGTTCGATAGTTCATATCATGTTTGACGTAGTGTAGGACAAAGGGTTGTTCAACTTCAAGCACTATTCGATGGGTTCAATCAAAGGCAACGGAACGCTCAGCATCTTCGTTGGGTTTCAACAATTGGATAAGAAGTTGTTGTGATCCTTTCGATGAAGTTGAACTTGTAAAATAGGTTCAGTGGAGTTAGAAGTTAGAGAAGGAGAGAATGAGAGAAAGAACTATGTAACCTAATTTCTTGAATTGAAAAAAATTGAGAAGAGTACGAAGGAGTGAGTTTGTGCAAATTTGATCTCTTTGATGGAAATCAGATATCAGAAAGGTAAATGTTTTTGTTTGAAATAGAAAAAGGAGATTTCAATTTTATTATAAGTCAAAAATGAGATTTTGTGTTTCACAAAGAAGGAAGAAAATAGGTTGAATTGTGTGATCTTGTGCAACGAAATGAAAAAATAATTGGAGGTAATTAATGCAATTTAGTTACATGCCATTTCAATTATTTTCATGAAATATAATATGTAATGCAATTAGATATGCGACTTAATAATTTGGTGCGATCGAAGTTTCCCTTGGCGACGTTTGCCATCTCCAATATTTTTTTAAAAAAATTTAACATCATTAATGTGCTTTAAGCAGTGAAAATTTTGAGTAGTAAAAGCAAGGCAAAGCATTGAAGTAAACAAATATGTTCTCGGCAAAATTTGGTAAATGTTAAATACGTTGTTAACAATTTAATTGAAAATTTTAATATCAATATAGTTATAAATTAGTCTTATGAATTGACGTAATTATGTACCTGATTGTTAGCTTGCACTAAGGAAAACCATCTAACAATTTAAAGACCTTTGAAAAGGAGTTTCAACCTTTGAAAAGAAAGTGAGGTGGCTGATTATATTTTATTCTAAAGCATTTGCAATTCTATTATTAATTAAATGCAATTATTGATACAATATATTATATGTTATTTTCCAAACTTTTGAAAACATTTTTTTTTATTAAAATGATGAATCAACATGTGTAAGATTATAATATCCATTAAATGTGTGGTATCATATTAAAGAATAAATTATAATAAAAATAGAAAACGAACATAAATGCAAATACAAAAATTCACCTCCTTATGATGCAAGTTAGGGAAGCAAAATACCTATGCACGAAAATAAAAAAACAAAATACCTATGCACGAAAATAAAAAAAGGAAAAAATTGGACATAAAAATGAAAATAATTGTACCATCATTGGAATAAAATTTAGAATGTGCTCATGAATAACTAACTTATTAAAAGTTAAAAGTTGAAAATTAAATTTAAAATATTAAAGAATATTCATGCAAAAGATGCAAATGACGCAACATCACATAGAATATTATTGAAACTGAACATTAATGATTAGTGGATTTTTACCCATTTTTTATTAAGAATTTGATTGTTTGGTTATCGTTAAATAGTTGTTCTCGACTTAAAATTCCAATTACTCGGACCTGTTGACTTTGATAATTGTGTCGATGTCAAATCAACAAAGTATGATGAGAACGAAGAGCAAAAGATGCAACATCACATAGAAGTTATTCATAATGTATTGATCAAAAGTCAAAATAACCCAAACGACGTTCGTTAGCAAAACGAACAGCGTCAGCACATTCGAGACCGCTGAAACAACTAAGATCAACATCTATATTGATCAGGATTTTTTATTTGACAAAATTTGAGAAATTCACACAAGTGGGGTAACAATGTGATCCTTGCGCGAGAAAAGAGAATAGGAAAAAAACAAATAATAATAATAATAATAATCTAAAACAACCTAACCTACTCACTCACCCCACTAACACATTAACTCCACTCATATAACACCCCAACCGAACCCTCACACCCTCATAACTCAAACACGAGAGCCTAACCCCAATTCACACAACCAACAGCAATCAAGTACCTCTCTCCCTCTCATTTGCTTGCTCCACACTCGATCTTGCTCCTCGGAGCGAATTACCCAAAGCCAAAACTCAACTCCTACTAACGCAAGTCCCTAGACCAAACTCCCTAACACCCGTTGCCTTGCTCGCATGAACCTGACACTTATCACGTCCCTCCCTCCTGTTGGTTCTCACAACACAATCACCACCAGCCCTCCTGTTTATGTGACCCTGCACTCTCCTCTTTCTTCTTCTTCTTCTTCTTCTTCTTCTTCTTCTTCTCCTCCTCCTCCTTTCTTCTTCCATTTCTTCTTACATATCTTCTTCTTCCCCTCCTCCATCTACCTCAGCCAACTCTCACCACCGGTAATCCCAAAATCATCAGTGAGCCAGGCCAAGCCGTTAGCCACCCACACCCGATAGCCCCATTCACTAGCCCAATTATCTCTCTCTCTCTCTCCCTTTTCTCTATCAAGAAAAATAAAAAAATATCAAAAGAAATAAGAGAAACAACCAAAAAAAAAAGAGATTTACTCCAAATTTGTAAACTTCAAAGAGGCAAACACAAAAACTATAAGGTATATAGCCCTGTCTCGCACTTAAACAATAGGTATTGAACATCCTGCATTTCATTGATTTTATATCTAGCCAGGAAGAACAAAATTATTAGAAGACCCTAGGTCCATTATATCTTTGATCCAGCCAAGAAGAGCAAGAATCATCTTAGTAAGAACAATAAATTAGTCAAGAAAAAGAGCTATGCTACCATACTAAATAATAAAACATAGGTTTCTTTGAGCTTAAGCTATTTAGATAAAAAGAAAACTAGTTAAATCTTATTAAAATAGTTCAGTTATCATAATGGCCTGCAGCTTGATGCCACTAACACATTCATGATCCCTCTCGAGTCATATTACAAAAATCCAGTTATCATAATGGTTGTTGTCACTCGAAATCGTCGGCACTAAGGCTTGAAAGCCCTCAAGATTCTCAAGCCCACTACATAAGGCAAAGATGAATTTTTATCAAGATTTCTATTGAGACACTTAATAGTCACTTACAATAATGGGTTCTTTTGGTATTCCTATGAGCGACGGGAGCGTCATGATACTCAACACATCATAAAACTCTTCTATTCCAAACTAAATATATTTTATGTATTCATAATAATAATATTACAAGTCAACTAAATGAAAATCAAATATAAGAAATGTTGACTTGGTCAATCAAATTTAATGGTCAAAGATCCAAATCCAAAGTCACTAGCTCCTATTCAACCAAAGAGTCCAAGCGGGTCATCAACTCTGGGTCGCTTTGCACAAAATGTAAGATTATAAGACCCGTATTTCTAAGAAACCCTAAATTCAGGGTAAGGAACACTTGCATAAGATTCCTAACCCTTAGGTTACAACTATCCAATATCTCTTAACAAATTAAAGTTATTTCAACTAAAGCGTAGAATGATTATGCAAAGCAAGTCATTCAAATTCAAACATTTCAATAGATTTAAGCCCCACTTCAACATAAATCTATCGAGTAGTCTCACCTATAGGCCTAAGTTATAAGACCTATAATTCATGCAACTCATAAATAGAGCAATAAATCTTGTAAAGGACTTCAAACTTTTCGTATATTCCATTATTTGTATTCACATTGTTGATAGTTTATGGTGCAGAATGTTGTGTGATAGAAAAATCCCCCTCAAACTTAAGGAAAATTTCGATAAGATGGTGGTGAGCCCTGCAATACTTTATGATGCAAAATGTTGGCCATTAAAAGAGAAGCATAATATTAAGTTAAGTGTTGCAGAGATGATGATGCTTAGATGGATGAGTGGCTTTACTCTTTGAGACGCGATATGAAATGAGTATATACGTGAAAAGGTTTGAGTAGCTCCAGTGGAAGATAAGATTAGAGAGAGACACCTTAGATGGTTTGGTCACATAAAATGGCGGTCTTCCAAGGAAAGTAGAAGTATTAGATTTGACTTATGTTAAGAAAGGTAGAGGTAGACCTAAAAAGACTTGGTTATAAAATATTAGGAATGACTTTTCTTTATTAGATTTAAATGAAAATTTGACTCTTAAAAGGACACAATAGAAAAAAAGGATTCATGTAGCCGACCCCACGTAATGGAACAAAGGCTTGATATTGTTGTACATAGCTGATAATTTCTAGTTTCTACATATTTTCTAAGAAAATTACAACCAATTCAAACACCCCAACCCCACCCCTTCTTAGTTCTATTTAAAGGTAAGTATAGACTACCCTAAACCAAGTTTAAAGGCAAGCATAGACTACCCTAAACCACATATTTTCTATATGTCTTTATCTTTAAAATAATATACTACTATCATTGATGCATCTAATGTGATAAAAGTTTCAAATCTCTTATCTCCACATTTATTTTATGTAATCTCTTTCTCTCATTCTTTAATAGCAAGTTTATTATATAAATTACCTAACATTGTAGCATTTTCTAGCTATCATCTTTATAATGCTTGTTGCGTCCTGGAGTATTCGCGGCGGTAGAGAAATTCGTAGTTTAATGTCTTAGCATTATACGAAGATCTAGCACACAATCAGATAAATGAGAGGATGTAGCGTTCATAAGAGACACCAGTGTTTTTACGTGGAAAACCCCTGAAAAGGGGGAAAAACCACGGGGCCTGGCCCAGTTTGAATGAAAATCCACTAGTATTTGCAGTCGATTACAAATGAGGCCCTTTCTTGGGAGAAGGCCTGGGCTTGATGGTACAAATGTACATCATATAGAGCGCATTACATAGTGGGAGTTACAATAATATACATGTTTGTTTGGTTGGAAGGGCCGTAGTTGGCACGAGACGGGGGTCCGAAAGACCGTAGTTGGTAGGAGATTGAGGTCAAGAAGACCATTGTCTGGCAATGTAGGTCGGAAGAACCGTAGTCGATGGGAGATAGGAGTCTGGAAGACCGTAGTTGGTAGGAGATCGGGGTCTGAAAGACCGTTGTCTGTTGTTGGAGGTCGGAAGGACCATAATAGGTGATGGAGGTCAGAAGGACCGTAGTCGGCAGGAGACCGGGATCAGAAAGACCGTAGTCTGGTGATGGAGGTCAGAATGACCATAGTAGGCGACAGAGGTTCGAAGGACCGTAGTCGGCAGGAGACCAGAGGTCTGAAAGATCATAGTTAGAGGGCGGAACTTCGGTAGAAGTCCGGGCGTTAGGCGATGGTCTGGCAGAACTTCGGGCCTTAGGTAATGGTCTGACGAAGGTGAGGGCCTCTAGCGAAGGTGAGGGCTTCTGATGAAGGTGAGGGCCTCTGACGAAAGTGAGGGCCTCAGATGGTGGTCTGGCGAAGTTGAGGGCCTCTG